AGATAATAACCCAAAATCACCAAGTCAGCCAATAATCAGGACACTTTTAATCTTTACTAAGTATACTCAATAGCACCACTTATAATAGTACAATTGTAACTTTAGAAATAAGACGATAAAAACCGATCCTAACTGTATAAAGGCAAGGGCCGGACTTTAGGACCGAAGTCCGTGACATTTGTAGCATCTAGCAGCCTTCTATTCCACATTTTAATCACATTCACTTTTATGAGATAGGTAATTCAATTTAACAGTACCTATTATGTACTTGCCCCTGACGAAAGGGGTTAAACCGTATGGTATCTAGAAGACTGGTTATTCTAGCAGTAGCTGTTGTGAAGCAAGTTCAACAAAGACCGTTTTCCGGCTAATCAACTTACGTAATCATCGAGATTCTCATTTCTCTGTCGTTAGTGAGTCATCAAAGTGGAAAGAGAAACTGAATATATTTTTTGAAAAATAGAACTTTTATTTCAATGAGCTAATCCATAGACGCATCTATGAGGATGTGGAGGGAGGATTTTGGGCTGAATGAAGTGGAGAAAAGCGTCTCCGCGATCCTACGCTCTTGGTTAACATCCTGTTCCAGGCAGAATTAGAGAAAGGAGATTCTCATTCCAAATGTAAACTTCATTAATTCTATACAAAATGTATAAGTGAAGTGAATAAGAGTTTTCACACAGGCATGGCTGGAAAAGTTTTTTTACTTAGAAGTATTACTATACATTTAATAAAGAAAAATCATCCATTGGATTGGAACAATGAAGTAATATGTAATTATTAAATACTGTTTGTTATTCTTTAACACATAATTAATCGGCATTATAATTCCATTCTCCCAACTAAGTTTTAAATAACTACCTACTTTCCTTGCTGATGATCTTTTTATAATTTATAGTATATTTCAATCTCAAAATGTCATGAAAACATATATTTGATATGCACATGGTTACCGGTGTTGTTTCGCTTAAAATATTTCATAATGGCACAACTCATATTAGTATTGAAAATTATGTGATTATACTCCCAGATCGGTCCAATAGATTTTTTTTCTAGATATTTCACAATACGCAGCTGCCAGATTATCTGATTTGTTTATTTTGTTAGTCATTAATTTTAGGTTTTATCGGTCAGATGATAAATGTCCGACTAAAACAATCTGAAGACGATTTTAAACAATTGCAATATCGTAGTGTGCTATAACATAAAATACAAATAAATTAATGGAAAACACAAAATCAAAAACAAATGCATTTAAAAAAAGAAATGTGATATAGAACAATAGTTATAATTAAATATAACCGCAAAGATAAAATGTAAAATCATTACTAGCTAAAAATGTTTGGATAGCTAATAAGAATATCTACGAGAATAAACTATACCTAATAGAAGATGTAACCCAAACATTTTTTGAAAATGTGAATTAGAAATGAACAGACAATTAATTAAAATAAAATTGATATAAACAAATAATCCGGAAAAATCTCAAGAAATTATCAAATTAAGAGTGTACAATTCTATGATAAAGTCAGTTCTAATATATGGCTCTGAAACCACAGATGGGCATATTTATATTCAAAAATATAAAGATTTGCTATATATATCATTTTATATTTATAAATAGTACTATTATTCTCCCTTTTACAATATGTTTTGTTAATTATGTTGCAATGTATTATGTTATGTTAATTATCACATATTCACGACTGTAAATATAAATATGGCCGTATTCACGATTGTAAAAGTGAATACGGCTGTATTTACACCTGTAAAAGTGAATACGGCAGTATTCACGTTTACTAAAATGAATAGCCTTGAATTTACAGAGGTGAATGGAAATATTTCCACACAACTTTATTAATGAATACTCTTATTTATTTTAAAAATATATTTACTATATATATCATTTTATTTGTATATATAGTATTATATTCTACCTTAAACAATATGTTATGTTAATTATCATTCTTAATGTTTGTACGTAATATAAATTGCCGAGCCTTTGTATTTATAGCAAAAGACAATACGGTAATATTCACGTTTATAAAAATCAATACGCTTAAATTTATAGAAGTGAATGCAGATATTTTTACAAAATCTCATTTATCAAAAAAATATATATTTATTAAATTGTTTATATAAAAAAAAAATATATTTACTATATATTCCATTTTATTTTTATTTATAGTATTATATTCTTCGTTTTACAATATATTATCTTAGTTATCACTCGGAATGTTTGTACGTAATATAAATTCACAAGCATTTTTTTTTTTTTATTGGGTCCAGAGGGTGGGGTCTCTCCCGTACCAGAATGGAAAGCCTACGTTTATGATCCTAGACGTACAGACTTTTCGGTGCACTGTTTACTTATGGGCTGCTAATGGTAATAAAGATAAATTTAATAGACGGCCAGGGTAGGTACAACACTCGGAACGATACCCTGGAAATCCCATCGGGAAATACGTGTACACGACAGAGTTGAAGGCAAGGGAAGGAAAGGGGCAAGAGCTGTCAAATTTGAATAGTCAAACAGCCGGATCTGCCGTTTAGTGTGTAATGTGTGAATATATTTGTTAATATGTTAAGTTTTGCATATAAAACAATGTATAAAGTTAATAGCGAAACTGAGTCTGTTTGTTTAGCAGGCTTGTAATCTGGATGATAGGGATTTTTTTTTTCACGAGAGTACCTGCTCTTTAAGAAATTCCAATATTCTCACCTACTCAGAATTTTTATTGGGGAGAAGGAGAGAGGCGATGCCCGAAGAATATAATACTATATATAAAAATAAAATGGTTTATATAGAATTTTCTTTTAAATAAATACATTTTTTTTAATAAATAAGATTATTCATTAATAAGGTTGTGTGAAAATATTTGCATCCACTTCCGTAAATTTAAGCGTATTCATTTTAATAAACATTAATAATGCCGTATTCACTTTTACTAGTGTAAATACAAAGGCTCGGGAATTTATAATACGTACAAACATTACAAGTGATAATTAACATAACATAATACCTTGTAACATAATTAAAATAACATATTGTAAAAGGATGAATATAATACTATATATAAAATAAAATGATATATATAGTAAATATATTTTTTAAATAATAATTTAATAAAACATTTTTTTAATAAATAAGATTATTCATTAATAAGGTTGTGTGAAAATATTTGCATTCACTTCTGTAAATTTAACCGTATTCATTTTAGTAAACCTGAATACTGCCGTATTCACTTTTACAGGTGTAAATACAGCCGTATTTACTTTTACAGTCGCAAATACGGGCGTATTTATATTTACAGTCGTGAATACGTATCTTCTGTATTCATATTACTATTTATAAATAGGAATATATTCGTATTTACATTCATTTGTACCATAAATATAAATATGCCCATCTCTGTCGGACACCTGGACCCTAACCAGCAGTCTAGAAAAATATTAGAGAAAAATCCTCCGCACGATAACCGGAACTATCTGGGATCAGAGTACTAATAGAAGACAACAAGAAAGACCAATAAAGAACTGCTGACAGAAATTGGTCAATCAATATCCCATGATATGAAGGCACGGAGATTAAGATGGGCGGGGCATGTAGCTCGTAGCAATCTCTCTGGAAGCTTCTGCGTAACAATGGATGCCTCAATAGAAGACAAAAGACCACGTGGGAGGCCAAAAATCAGATGGATATATAGAATCAACCAAGGTGCAATAGAGCTGAATGCAGATAACTGGAAAGAAAAAGGCGACAAAAGATCTATAAGGTCTGTAAAGCCAACAGAAAACAAAAGTAAATAAATAACTAATAATATTTTAAACAAAATCAATTAAAATGTTTTTATCCAAACATAACAAACTGATTTTTACACTATCGAAAAGGTTATCAGAGAAGAGTGGGGTGCACTATATGTCTGTTTTATAGTTTCTGCAAATTGATTACGATGCTTTTCAATGCCAGCCTTAGACATTGCGCGCCCCCGGGCAATGACATCATCCCCCTCCTAAAAAAATTAAATTTTTCGGAATCTGTTTTACATCATGTAATTTTTGAATTTTATTTCATTCAACATTTCTCTAATACAGTTACTTTCTCGATAGGCTAAAATAAATTATTTTAATACGTTTTATATATATTTTTTAATTTCTAACCAATGGCGTGCGACCCTGAAGATCGACAGGCCCGGCAACGGCCCTCCATGTCGGCGATCATTTTTTATTGACCTTCCGTTTTGTTTTGTGTTTTGAAGATTTTATGCACATATAAAGCCCTTTCAAATAGAGTTAGAGATATGAAAATGATTATGTAAATTGAGTTAGTGTTGGAGAATAGTCTTTAGGGATCTCAAATTTTTAAACGCCCCCCTCCCTCCGTCATTTCGATAAATTAAATTCGGAACAAATAATAAAATAATTGCGAGATTATAAAATCAAAACATGACAAAGAAATGCAATTAAATCCCTTTGCATATGTTTTCTAATAAAAAATGAAAAAAAATAAGTGGTCTGTGATGGAGTCAATGCTGATCCCGCCTGATTTATATATATTTTTTTTAATATAATAGAATAGAAAAAGAAACTTTATTCCAGGACACAGTCCCCTCAGAATAATAATAATGAAAAAAAAATACATAACTAGGTAAAAATAAAAGTTATTATGCAATTAAAAAGAGCGAATCAGACAAGTGACATCAGTGGAATATAACAATAATGATTGGATAATTTATAATTCGTTAAATTTTATTTGAATAAAGAAAATTCGAGCTATTTTATGGCAAATCATTAGGCTGAACAAAAACCCAGTCCGACAATCTAATGCTTGCGTCATGTCATATTGAATTACTTCAATTGTATGTTTATGTTATACTGTGAAACAAAAGGAAAGAATTGTTTAAAACAAAAATTAATATTAATAAATGCATAATTGTAAGCATCGCAAATTAATATACGTATATCAAGCATGTGACTACTAACTTCAAGAAAAACATTACCTGATGTCTGTAATTATCCCATCCTTCAGAGCCTGCTACCAGTAAAGCCCATATCTTCCCGACCGGATTATCAGGCAAGCCCGCTGCGATATTCTTGAAATAAATAGGGTTATTCAGTTGAAAAGGCACACGAGCGTTGGAACACGCAAGTCCCACGAACAGCAGCAGGCAGGGTAGGAACACGCTCATCTTTTCTCTGACCAGGAAGAACCGAACAGCACCCGCCGACTATTCACAATGAACTGAGATGAAAAGTGATAATCGATAGCAAAATAACTCGGGGAAAACTATCGATTGTGAGTTCAGAGTTCGATAGGTCACCAAGTTTCCTGTTGTTTACGGGCAATTTTAAATACTGTTTTTAATATTTTGTACTAATAAATATTGTTTTCTTTCACAGATACAATTGGAGAGACTACTAGAAACTCTTCCAAGATTTGATCTAAATTCCAGTAAGTAATTGACCACCAACATTTTAGTTAATACTACCTGATACATTTTACAGGATCTCAATCCTGATTCTCATGTACGTCAATAATATTCTGTCTTTAAAAGTAGGTTTTTAAATAGTTTTATTTGTAAATATTAAAATTCCAATGAGGATTAAACCTAACTTTAAGGCAATAGATGGTAATACCCCTGTAAGGAGGATACAAGCTAATTTTATTGGTGGTTAGACAAAAGACCACGTGGGAGGACAAAAATCAGATGGATAGATAGAATCAACCAAGATGCAATAGAGCTGCATGCAGATAACTAACATTCAATTTCCTAACATGCATAGGAGTTAAGTTTCTTAAAAAGTCTAATCACTCCATTTTCATTTTACAAATTCAGCTTTCTGAACACCATATTGAAATAAAAATAAAATTGACTATTGCATTTCTTTTACTCGAAAAGATACTCATGTGAGTATAACTCTGTTTATTCTAATCCTAATTCCTATCTTTTAACAACCAGCAATGCTATTATTCCATCAAGGACAATTCACTCCATCAGATGTTTCTACAAAAGAGAGAAGTAAAATATCTAACTAAAGAAGGTAAAAAGTATATATTATCAAAGAAACAAGAAAATATATTTTTACATTTTTTTATGTATTTTTAAAAATTTTTGTATGCATGATTAGTTAATATGCTAAATAGGTTTTAATATAATGTAAAATAAGCAACACACAATGCAAACTAATAAAATACCTATGTAGTCTATTTAATTGTTTTAATCTGACATGTAATTACAACTGTGGTAGATTAAAATAGGAAATTATTTAAAATGGAGTAAAATTATGTTTATAAACAGTTTACAGGTAGCAGCATGAATCAAGAAACTAGAAATGATAGTTTTAGTTAAGGTCAAAAGAGGCCAGCACTACTCAGACTGTCTAAGTGAGAGCCAACTCTAAATCTTCATTCTATCTTCCTCCAAACAGACCACCCCTCTCCATCTATCTATACCTAAACTCCTTAGATCGTTTTCAACATCTTCCAGCCAACGAAATTTAGACCTGCCTTTTTTCCTTCATTCACCTAAGTATCCTTCCACCACCATTTTAGCGAACCTGCCAGGTTCCATTCTTTGCTCATGGCCCAACCATCTTCTTCCCCTCTTCATTCATCTCCATCTGCCAAAGTTTCCTTCTTTAGTTGAGCCATATATTTTATAAAGGATTTTCTTTCTCACCTGTTAAATAACCTCTCTTCCTTGAGTGGGAGTGTCCAGCACTTGCTTCCATGTATAACAACTGGTTGCAGGTCCATCTTATATACTCTTGTTTTGAGAGCTCTTGATATATCACGATTTCAAAAGATTTTTGTCAGGAACCAATAACACATTACCAGCTGTGATGCTTGGATTTATTTCTTCTCTTACATTATCATCCTCAATGATAACAGTGCCAAGATACCTAAATTGTGGTACACTTTCAAAACAATATCCAGCCCCGTCGATATATCTAGTGTCTTTCATTTCCATCAATGTTAATATATATTTAGTTTTTTATTTATTTTTGACAAATCCTGATTTTTTTTACCTTGTTCACACTACTTGAAGGCTCCTAAGAGTACAATGGATGTCCTTCCTGTAACCACTACAACATCCGCAAATGTTAAGTGTTAAGTCATTCTGTCATATATACATCCTCTTGACCATGTGCGGGTCGATCACATGACTACTTGTAATACCAAATTGAGCAGTTTTGAGGAAAGAGAGTCTCTCTGTTTTACACCCTTCTGTATGCTAAATTCTTTTGAAGACACCATAAATTTTTACATTTTTGCTGTTCTGCAGGGTCATTAAAATATTTGGCACTCAGTGGACACAAAATTTGATGCTTTACAACTTCGATTCTGTCTATTTTTCCTCTTAAGGAATTCATTTCCAATTTATAGGGCCATTTATAGTAATTTGACTCGGTTTTTGATATACTTGGTAAAATCAGCATTGGTTGACCATAGTTTTCTACTAAACTACTTAACTAAATTATTAAGTTTAGTATAAATTATTAAGTATACTCCTTCTACACAAAATTTGACGTTCTTTAATTTATTAAATAGTACATTTTTCGCTTTGATGCATCGTTTAGAAGTTATAGCTGAAAAACCAAAAAATCTGACTTTTTTGGATGTAAAAAGTTTTCCCTTGGTAGCCCAAGTTAGCAATTTTGTTTTTTGCATATCTGAAGTGAAAAAGATAAACAAATTTCTCACAATTTTCACAATGGATTCTCTGTTTCGATCCTCAAGTTACTGGCCTCGTATTCTTTAAATCAGCCACTATTTTTTAAAGCAGCGGCTCTGGAATGGCAGACAAGGTTCATTTTATTCAGAATGACGTACACTTTCGTAATTTACATTCAAACCTCTGCCTGCGATCAGATCGATGTTTGGGCCCTGACTCCAGAGTTAGTACGCTTGTTTGTAGTCAATAAAAATGTGGTGTTGATCAACATTTCATGCATGGCATTTTTCAATCATAACTATCATGAAGATGTGGCCTATTGAAAATTTTGATGGGCGAGATCCACACTGGCACTCACCTAACAACTGTTTGGGTCTCTCCACAACCCACTTCATCAGCAATGTTTATAAAACCTTGTACACTGTGCACAATAGCAAAATGCCTCTATAATTGTAGCAATCCATTCTGTACTCTTTTTTGCATTTTGGTAGAATAACAGCCACCTTCCTTTCTTTTTGCATTTCTTCTTTCATCCAAATCGCTCTTCCTCCAATTTCAGTTCATATATTTTCTTGTGTAATGCCTCTTCTAATTTTAGTGCTTCTGCTGGAATTCCATCAATTTCTGATACTTTATCATTTTTTATATACTAAACTCTAATCCAGACCAGGAAGAAACAGCTGAGGAACTAGTAATGATGGAGGAATAAAGAAAGCTGGAACCTCCGGATCCTGAAGAACTAGAGGAACTAAATATGAAACCAAAAAAAACACAATATGTATTCTTTATTAATTATAACACATGTAAATGGAAGCACATATCAAGAAAGTATTTTTTTAAATTCTTCTGAAGAGCAATATTGTTGCTATAATTACCTTCTTTTTTTTATAAATGTAAGCAAAAAAATCAAGAAAAAATATTTTAAAATTCTTGCTAAGAGCAATATTATTCCTGTACTTTTAACACACTTTCAAGAAGTACTTAAACATCTTTATTTATTTATAAGATTAATTATTGTTATAAAAAGAAAAACAGCCTCCTTCAAAATGAGACCCTGAATCCGCTTGTGCTATAGTACAAGGTATATCAACTGATTAAGCTCGTTTGATTCAGATATTAATTTTGGCGCTGGATTTATCCTCAGAATCCATCTAAGTGACGCTATTGCTAGATAACTATTGCTATCTTCTGGCAGTTAATTAGACCATGGTTTTCGTGTTATTTAAAATCATGTTATATATCAATATGTTTTTTTGTTTTATTGATTAGGATTAAAATGATTGATTTTTTATATTCGTTTATGTTTGTACTTAGTTATTTGTATATTGTTTTAGTTATTCACTTAATAAACTATTGGGATAAAATATTAAATAATGAAATATAAAACAAGATATCATAATTTAAAACATATTTAATAAATGAAATACCATGATACCAAAGAGTGAATGGGAGTAAAGTGAAATAAATATAAAAGCATAGATATTCATATAAAATATCAGATATAATAAAATTTGTGTTAGTTTTATTATCGGACCATTATGAAAAAGGTTATCAGGGTTAGTAGATTAGAGTGAATGAAAAACACATACATTATTTTATATCTTATATGGACATTATTTTGGACTACACATAACACCAAATTTACAAAAATAATAAAATATAGTTAATTTATAATCTTATAAGTTAATTTATTCATGTTTACAAAATTAAAATAAGAATAAAATTTTCAAAGCACCTTCCCTACAGACCAAATCTAGCTCCCTACTACTTCACGCTTTTTCCTCAAGTTAAAACAGGATGAAAGGGAATTATTTCACAAGCGATGAGGATCTTTTGAGTGCTTGTGATTTCAAGTGTACCTGTCTCACAAAAGAAGGTGGCAGTGTTACTTTGAAGATGGTTTAGGACGATGGAGAAGTGTATTTTGTGGAGTGGAAACTATTTTGAAAAATTGTAGATAATAAAGTTGTACTTTAAAACTTTCCTAATGCCCTTTTAAAAAAGAAAATAAATGTATGGTAGCATACTATGAAAAAATATGAGATCTCTTCAGTTTAATCACTAATAGTATGTTTTATCTTCTTTTGTTAAGCTCTGATGAAGAAACATCAGCACAAACTGAAGTAGTAATAGCTTAATTTGTTTTTCTTTCCTGTCTTATGGCAAACAGTATCGCCATTACTAAAGTGTGACACGCCTATGACACGAGTTTCTGTAGTTAGTAATCATAAATAAATAAATAATCAAGAACATAAAAAAATTATATATTTCAGAAAAATAACTAAAGGTTTTACAGATAACTAAAAAAAACTGTATATTTTTATTAATAACTGTACATGAAAATTTTTTAAAAAAATATATATTAACAATATGTAGAAATAATATTTACATAAATCATTGGTGGACAACTAGAATATAGAAGTGATGTTACAATATCTAATGTAATTGTAATAACTAAGTCATTTTTATTTATATAAAAAATATCAACAATTAACTACAATAGCACCACTACATTGTTTACTTAACAAACTTTGACACAAGAAATTATTATTACCATCGTAAAAGTATTTTTAAATCATTTTCAGTGAACAAAAATCATTCGATGGAATAAGATACAATACCAGGGAAAGAGATGTAGCAGAAAGAATATGAAATCACAATAATCCCTCAGGAAACTTCTTTGCTATGCCTGAAGTATAAGGGAACCTACTCTGAGGTTATGGGTAAACAACTTTTAGGAGAAACCTTTAGTGCAAAAGCAACCTCTGAAATAACAATCAATTTACAAATTAGTGCATACAATTAAAAAAATGAATACCTGTACCACTACCACCCATGAAGGGTCTGGGGTTCAATAGTTTGTAAGGAAGTACAATTTCTAGGTTCATGGTTGTACAAGGAGATGAGTTGACTAAGATCACACTCAACCGCCAGGTTTTCCCCTTTAATAGAGGCTGGGTATGTTCCAGGAGGATCTCCTGCCCAACCCCAGGGTAGATCCGTGGCTAACGAAACAGAATATATAATTTATCTGCCATCAGCCTGACTCTAACCTTGAGCATTGGAAGTCAGTGCCATACCACTGAGCTACTCCACTCCTCCCTCCAAAAAAAATAAGTAAACTAAATATTATTTTATTTAAATGAATAAAAAATCAGAATGTTAAAAAAAAATCAAACTAATATATTTGACTGTAATCACACAGACTAAGTTCCACCCACAAGGTTCTCAAGTTGTTAGCCTATAGCTTGGAAAGTGGATGAAATCACCAAATGATCTCAGCTTAACTCAGTAAATTGCAAACCAGATATTTGTGTCATTTCACTGCTGATATTGCTGAAGACATTGATGTTGGAATTACATATAATATGATAAACAAATACTTGTAATATTTTAATTACAATAGTTAACAGTTTATACATAATTACTAAGCATTCGCATTCAGTACATTTAAATATCTTATTTTTATATCAATTATAATTTTATAATAACATATCGTCACTCTTAGTGCAAAAGATCGTATGTGAAAATTGAGTTTTTTTTTACAGATCATAAAAACCAACCCATTCGTTATCATTTATTAATATCATTTCATATTTTATTTCCTTCAGCTTTTTTCCTACTTAGCAGACTACTTATAGCTGTTGCAGACTACAAAATGTAACCTGTAGAGCAAAGAGAATAAATATGTAAAAAAGTTACATACAACCTTTTGCACTAACAGTAACGATATATATAAATTTCTCTTTATGAGGTGTTGATTAACACTGGTAACTGAAAAAATAATACCCAACTAAGAGGTAAAAGAGATATACAAAATTTAAATAACCATTCCCAAAAAACAAATCATTAATAATAACCTAAAGTTAAATAACTATAAGTGGAAGATTTCAGGACTAAAAAACAATAAATTAAAAAAATATCAGTCTAGTTCATTTATATAACTATGTTATTTATTTTAAATCAGCACTAAGCATTAAGTAACATTATTAACTATTAAATTTGTTATTTGAAAATGATGTAACCAATATAAATAAGTACTTCATTCAATTTTTGATAGCTAGTAGAGTATAAAATAATACCCTAAAGCCTAACATTAATACTATCCTAAAAAAAAATACATAGGTTGAATCTTGGCAAAGCATTAATCATCGATTACTGGATGACAAAGTCTTGAGTATATGCGCTCTGTATTAGTGACCCGAACAAAGTTTGAAGCAACAAGACTAGGATACAACTGCAACAAAGTCAAGAGTATAAATTAATAATGATACAATCCAAAGTTTTTTTCATATCCAGAACTTCTGAGGCAAGATAAAATGATTTAAGTAAATATTAAATGAGATCATGACAAATGACCAATGGGACATATAGTAATGTAATATAATGATGTAACTAAACTGAATAGCATATTACATAATATCCTACAAATATATTATAAAATATCAGATTTTAAAAATCCACCAAGGGCTTATCTGTTGAAAATTTTTTGGCGGTAGCTTGCTCTTCCCTGACGCTTATGTCACAGGGTCTTCGACATTCTAATTGTGTATTAGTAAATCTCTACTTCAAAAGCCGTGAGGATATGTTATAGAAGTCATAAAAAATATAATTTTAATATAATTATTACAGAATACTAATATTATTCAATATAATTCACAATTATTTTTTTAGTTTATTGTGCCATATAAAATTACCTTACACCTGAGATTTTTAATTATGAAAAATAAATTCTATTAATTACTAAATTTTTAGTTTCATTTAAATATGAAATATACAAAGTTAGTCTGAAGGGAAAGAGAGAGGGTGTGCTCCTAACCACACTCCTTGACTAACTTCTTAAATCAGAACTACAGTAAATTATATCATTATCATCACAGATATGAAATATATAGAAACAAAATGTTGATTTCTGAGTTTTAACCTGAAATACCCATTTCAAGATACCTGTGTCTAAATCATCATCATATGTGGCACAACATCCCGTTACCGAGACTGGGCCTCCTCCAAGAGCCTCCGCCAGTTGGTTCTGTCTTCTGCTGCAGCTCTCCAGTTCCGTACACCAAGCAGGGTTCTCGCATCATAGGCCACGTTGTCCAACCATCTCGTCCTCGGCCTTTCTACCCGTCTTACGAGGTGCAGCTCCTCCATCATTATTTTCTTTGGTATTTCAACGGTACTCATTCTGGCCACATGCCCTGCCCACCTTAATCTGGCCAGTTTAATATACGTGACTACGTCGATGTCTGCATAGAGAGAACTGAGCTCCCTATTTTTTCTTTTCCTCCAGACATCACCCTCCTTTACTGGACCATAAATCTTTCTGAGGACTCCTCACTCAAACACACTCAGCTTCATCTCATCCTTTTTAGTCATCGTCCAAGCCTCTGAGCCATATGTCAAAACAGGCCGAACAAGGGTCTTGTATATGATCAGCTTGGTCTTCTTTGAGAGGTACCTACTTCTTAAGTGTCGGCCAAGTCCAAAGACACATCTATTGGCAGCCGTGATCCTTCTTTGTATTTCTTGAGCCATGTCATTTTTGCTATTAATTTCAGACCCAAGGTATATAAAACTTTTCACTCTCTCAAACTTAAAAGAACCAACCTCAAATGGAGAGTTCAGATCCAACTCTCATATACTTAGTTTTCCTCTCGTTGACTTCTAGACCAAGTGATCTTGCAGCTGCTTCAAGGCCTATAAACGCTTCTCTGAGAGCCCGTTCAGACCTACCTATTATGTCAATATCATCAGCAAAACCAAGAAGCTGTGTCAGGCGATTGAAGATTATATCGTTGGTCTGAATACCGGAGTCTCTTACAGCTTTCTCCTCTGCCAAGTTGAACAATTGACAGGCGAGGGCATCCCCTTGCCTAACCCCACTGCTCACTTTAAACTCTTTGGAGTCGTCAGAACCGACGCGTATTCTACATCTCGAGCTGTCCATGGTCATCTTGATTAGGCGTACGAGCTTCTGAGAGATGCTTAGCTCCTCCAAGGCACAGTATAGTTGCGTTCTATCAACGCTGTCGTATGCTGCTTTAAAGTCCAGGAATAAATGGTGGGTGACTACCTTACGCTCCATAGTCTTTTCTAGGATCATCCTCAGAGAGAACAGTTGATCAGTGGTTGAGCTTCCTCGTCGAAATCCAGCCTGATATTCTCCCAGTTCCTTTTCAGAATATGGGAGGATCCTATCAAAAAGAATGTTAGAGAGCAGCTTATAAGCACACGAAAGGAGTGAGATTCCTCGATAGTTAGCGCATTCTGTTTGATCTCCTTTCTTATGTATTGGGCAGATAATGGCTGCCCCAAAAATGATGTTAAAATCATTCTTGGTGACTTTAACGCCCAAGTTGGTAAGGAGGTGGCACTCATGCCGACCATAGGAACCCACAGCTTGCATGAGACCAGTAATGATAATGGGCTATGGATGGTGAACTTTGCTACATTGCACGGACTGGTTGTTGGAACAACTCTTTTTCCTCAAAGAATATCCACAAAGCAACATGGATCTCTCCAAATGGGCAAACAGCATCACAGATGGACCATGTACTCATTAGTGCCCGTCACAAGTCCAACATGATAAATGCAAGATCTTATAGAGGTGCAAATATGGACACGTATCACTATTTGAGCATTGCCGAGGTCAGATCACGAATTTCGCTGATTAAAAACCACTACCAACGACCAAAGAAGAAGATTGATGTGGCTAAACTTAAGGACTCAGACCATCAATATTCGTATCAACAAGCTGTGGAGACGAAACTTAATGAAGAAGTAATTAATGACAGGTCTATGGTCGATGAACAGTGGAAGAGATGCAGCAACGCAATGAAACAGGCAGCAGAAGAAGCTCTTGGCTACGAGACTAAATCTAGAAGGCCCCCATGGTTTGATGCTGAGTGCCTTCAAGCAGTAAAAGTGAAAAATGAAGCCTACAGAAAGAAGGTTCAGCGTCCCACAAGGCTCTCCCAAGAAACATATCGAAGAAAAAGACGCGAAGAGAAGAGATTATTCCGCGGAAAGAGAAGAGCTTGGGAAAATAAGAACATGGAGGACACAGAGGCATTGCGTGGCCAAAATGAAAGTCGCCTGTTCTTTCAGAGAATAAACGAGGGTAGGGCAGCTTTCAGGCCCAGAGTGACGGCATGCAAAGACACGAATGGAACTCTTTTAAGCCACAAAGATGACGTATTAAGGAGATGGGTACAACATTTCAAAGGCGCATTAAACAGAGGAACGGTGCCTGGAGAAGTAGGAGTAATGAAGGAAGACTCCCTGAATTCTATTGAACCCCCGGATGAGGAGGAAATGGAAAACGCTCTGAGGAAATTGAAAAATGGAAAGGCGCCAGGCCCGGACGGAATCCAGTCAGAGCTGTTGAAATGTGGAGGTGAAGAACTCAAGAAAGCTCTGCATGATTTAATGCTGACATCTGGGAAAGGGAAGCTATGCCTACGGAATGGGCAAGATACCTGTCTCTAAATAACAAAATCTCATAAAAAATTTATATGTGTGCCTAGGTATCTGTGAGTGTGAGTGTATCACAAGGTAGGCTAAGGTAGGCTGATGCTGGTACAATTTTCAGTTTACAGAAATGGAGAAAGCATTACAAAATATAAATAACTGGGTCCAAGTTATGCTCGAGTAAAAGGTGCAAAATTAATTTACATGTAGATAATACCCCTAGAGTAAATTACAATAAAAAGATAATGTAAATAATTGAACCACCCATGTTGCCAGAATAGGCCAATTTTGACCCTGTTACAATTTAATCTAAGATGTATACCTGGAGGGTGATAATGAGATCATAGAGTGAGATGGGGCCTGTCTCCTCTTCAGCGCTACTAGCGGACAGTCTGAATATTGCGTCATGTTCTAAGTCTTCTCTAGTAGGGCGCTCTGCGGGCTTCAGGATACCATTCATACCATTCAAGCGTCCGTCAAACTTGAGACTGAACATTAGAGAAATACAATTTAAAAATCAATTAACACATAGATAAATACTAAAGTAACATATATCATGGCCGATAGATATGACAGTATCTGCTTAAGATTGTAAAATTAATGAAAATGGAAATAATTTTATTATTATGGGATTAGTGTCCCTTTAAGCAGACCCTACACGGTAATTCATGAATGAACGTCACAAGAAGTGCCAAGATTGCCCGCGATCGCTTTGATCATGAAGACCCTTACACATTCAATCATTACTGATCATTACTTATCGTTGCTGATACCAAGTTAGCTCAGTTGTAAACAAAGAAACTGCATAGATATGCTTATTTGGACATTGTCATCAATAATATTGGGCATCAAGAGAAAAACGGAGATATAATAATTACTTCCTCTTGCCTGAAAATCGTTTAAACCAAAGTTAGAAAAATATGTCAACTACATACAAAAATCTAGTCAAAGTATTGCGAAAATAATCAAATTGTTAAGAAAAATGGAAAAATTAATTGCAAATAAACACAACAGTTAAAGATTTTTTTTCTATTCTAGAAGTAAATTGTGAAGTTTCCACTTTTTTTCTCTTCAATTTATTGCCTACTTGACTATTTAAAGAAAAAATAGTTGAAAATGGTTAATAATAATATAGACTAGGGATATAAACAACTACTTACTTAATAACGAGACCTAGGTAAACTAACCTATCTAGTAGTAGTCTCATAGAAAATCGTTTTAACGAAAGTTAGTAAAATATAAGTCTACTACTTACAAAAATTAAGGAAAGGTATTGCGAAAATAATAAATTTGTTGAGTAAAATAGGAAAAGAACTGATAAATATACACAACAGTTAAAGATTAATTTTTTCTTAAAGTAAATTGTGAAGTTTCCTCTTTTTTTTTAATTTGTTGCCCACTTGACTATTTAAAAGAAATAGTTGAAGATGGTTTAAAATTATAAACAAGGGATATGAAAAATTATTTAACTATTTACATATAATGAAAATCAGAAATTTATAATGGTTGTGAGGCCTAGGTAACCTAACCTATCCAACAGTATGGCTAGTGTCCCCACTACTTTTATCTCAGTCCCCCCTCCACTTCTTGTGAATGAACCTTTGATTTCCGGATGTTCGGAAATCCGCAGCGCACCACTATCAGTACTTCATTCACCACCTTACACGACAATTCGAAACGTCATTAGTGCAATTCCGATTGACAGTGTAGGGTCCCCTTTAGAACAAGTTACAAATACAGAATATATATATTAATATTTTGGTGTCCATAAAATACAATTTAATGTTTACAGGTTGATTCGGAGTACAATAAAGTTATAAATGAGAAAAAGATATAAATATATGTAAATATAAAATATACAAAGAAAGTAATTAAGTAAACGAAATATCGATGAATTAGAAAATAATCAGAGTAACTGGGTGTACTTTGAGATTTTTAAGTGCATTTCGTGATCAATCGGATTGGGAATGGAGTAGGTGTTTGAAGAGGAGAGATTTGAAAGAGGATATTGATTTTGCATGTCGAATATCTGAAGGTATAGAGTTCCAGAGGGAGACAACTTGTATTAGAAAGGATTTATGAAACACAGCAGTTCGGTGAGGAGGAGGATAGAGGTCGGGCACACGGGATCTGGTGGGACGGGATTGAAACGAGCGTTTGAATTGTAAAATCTGTAGAATATAGGCAGGTCACCGTGTTCTAATGGCTTGATACAGGAAGGTAGCAAGGAAATATTAATGGCAGTAGGACGGATAAAGCCACTTCAACTTGTCACAAGATTAATTTTAAAAAATCATTGGTTTGCATTAAAATTAAATGCATGCTTCTTTCATTAATTTTTAACCAAAGTGATGATCTATTTGTATCTTATTTATGTAATATACTTATTGAACAGAAGTATGGTTGTTTTATAGTTTATTTAAAATCTAGTTTATTAAATTTAGTCTTTCCTAAAGGACATTGCATAGTTTTCCATTTATGGGAGGGTCTTCAGAAAGAATGAGCTGTGTTCTCTACATCTTTTTATTGTATAAGCTCGTACATGGTAGGGATAGACTTTTTCAAGTTTTGTGAGTAACAGCTGAAGTTCAGTTCGTAACAGCCTTCAGTGCTCTCGTCGTTTTAAAAAGGTATACTTCATTTTCAAATCGGTAGTCTAGAAATTTTGTGAATTTCTCCTCTCTTTGAATTTCCTTTGTAAAGATGTGATTCGAGTTCTTTTGTTAGCACAGAAATATAAAGGGGCATTAACTACTTCAGATAAGAAAGTCAAATTTTATCGCCAAATCAGGCGGGTGTAATATAGTTCTTACCTAATATTTAAAACGATATTATTTAATAATGTCTTAACTTCATCAAGTAGTACAATGCTACGATAAAGACGGTGCTGATCTGTGCGACATTGACTTTAATGAGCACCATAGAAAGAAGAATTGAAATGAAATTTCTCAAGATAACTGCAAAGATTAGAGATCACATTAATAACACACGGGGAAGATGGATCAATAAGGAACTTCTAATAGAAACCAGCCAGTCTATATCTTACACGAAGACAAAGAAATTAAGATGGGTGAGCCATACAGTTCAAAGTAATCCATCAGGAAGCCTCTACACAACAATAAAACCTACAATAGTTGGCCCAGGGACTAAAGGGAGGCCAAAACAAAAATGAACAGATAGAATCAACAAAGATGCTGCAGAAGTGTATGGAGAAAATTGGGAAGTATTAACTCAAAATAGAGAGAAAAAGAAGAGTGGTTAAGCTGTCCAAAGATCTAAATGGACTTTAAAAAAAAAAACAGAACAAGCGAGATACTGTAGACGAAAATTGGGGGAGAGAATTGCACATTACATGAAATCAATAGATCATTAAGGAGACAATAACAAACACTAATTTTTCTGTACAAAAGATAAAATGCTAATAAAAACAATAATAATAATTGATTATGCAATATATCTATAAATAGGATAATCTCACCTGTGAAATGGTTCAGATCTGTACTTATTTACATTTCGAAGCCATGGGTTTGGCATAGCAGTTCCAAGACTATGAATAAAACCGTTTTGACTACATTTGTAACCTTTTTTACGTGTGATGACAGCAGTTATAATATTCTTTAAAAAGTGCTGGAAAAAAATTAATACTTATTAATTAATAATTAAGTAAGATTTATATAACTTAAAACTACAAAAATAAATGAAATAGTTTCATTTAAGTTTATTCATCATAATAGTTTCATTTTTAATTTTCTTGGTTTCATCTTTTTTTTTTTTTTTAACTATTTTGAATAAAAATAAAAATTTGTAAATAAAAATTGCTTAACCAAGTAATATACTAACAATCATTGTTGCATACTATCTTCATCTTAAGCTTCCATTCCAAAAAAATTCTACACAGACAGACTATAATCAGGTAAAATCATACCTTACCTTGTTAGAATAGAAAAGAAGAGAAAATTGAATTTTTTTCTGGGACTAAGTCCCCTTAGAATAACAATGATGAATTTATATAAAAGAAAATACAAATCTGGCCAAAAACTAACTTACAAAATTCTAACATTATATACATTATTTAAAAAATAGTATGGAAGCACTAAAAAATAAACAGTAATAAACTATAAAAAAAAAATTATATTGTTAATATGAATAATAGAATTCATTAACTGTTATAGACCTTCATTAAGTTCACGATTAAACAAAAAGCTTTATTTGATAGTCACGAAGTTTAAATTTTATTATACTTCTTCTTCGATGGCTCTACAGCCCGGGGTGGGCCTTGGCTGCCTGAACACCAGCTCTCCAGATGTTCCTATCTTTAGCCTTTTCCCTCCAGTTTGTGACTGTTAACTGCCTGAGGTCATCCTCCAACCACCTTCTTCTCGACCTTCCCCTTCCTCTGATACAATAAATTCTTCCTTGGAGCATCTTTTTTGGAATTATTTCATCTGGCATTCTAAGAATCCCAACGATTCGATCCGCCGTGATTTTATAAAGCTCACAATGAAAGCAGTGAAGAAGTCGAGAACACACAACTGGCTGACAACTTGGCCCCGGACATTGAATGAACAAGGAATACCAAAATTCTCAAATCGGTGGCAGAAGGAAATAATATGCAAGATACTATATTGAGGAATGCTGAAAGTGAGCTTAGTGTATAATATTAACCAAAATATATATAAAAAAAACAAACATTTAAATTTGGATATTCTTTGCATCAATGATAAAATAATTATTGACGTAAGTTAAATTTATCTTTGAACATTAATTATATTCAATATATGCAAATTTTGTAAGCTGCTAATGAAATTTGTACTGTACTGTGAAAGAATAACAACGTATAAACAATTGCTAAATACTGTAGTAATAAGGCAATTTCAACACTAAATTTTAATAAGTTAAAAATAAATTCTAGTAATTACTTGTGTTGCAACGGTTAGGAACTCGGCAACATTTGGTTGAGATCCTTCAAGACCCAACTCCCATGCACTATACATAAGTCTAGCTAAAGTGGATGACTGATCAGGCAATAACCTCTCATGAACCATGAATGGTGGCACTTCTCCATTAACCTCTTGCCGCTCAGTCACAACATAAAATGTAGGGTCTATTGGCTGGAAAAAGAAATTAACATAAAATACAATTAAACCAAATTTTAGTTGAGTAATTAAGTTTGTGAATACATTTAAATAAATACTGCATGGAGTTATATCATTGGTTATCTTCACAGACATTCTATTAATTTATAAAAGGGGAGAAAATGGTTAGAAAATGTTAAATTTAGGTCTCCACAAATGTTTTAATTGAACATCAAAAACACACAAATAAACCAATATACCAAGAACCTAAGAGTTTATAAAAAAGGATTTAAGAATAAGAATTAACCACACTATACTGCGACTGAATCTCTGAGAACGCAAAATCTTTTCATAATGAATAATTAATAATTATTTGGGTAATAATTTAGTGGGATATGATCAACAGACATATACATGTTCAGCATGGTAGAAAGAAAAAACTAAATTAATAAAAATAAAAAAAACAGATAATTACAGGAATATTCATTATAAGTCATAAAAAAAAAACCCTTCAGTACCATGCTACAGGTGCGGAAAAGTGTCCCATTAAAAACATGTAATTATTGTGAAATAGAATGATATCTTGTTTTAATCAACACATATATTTTAATAAAATATAGCAAGAAATACAGTTTAATGAATCAATACACTTCTACATAGTGTTCAATTAATAAAAAACCAAAAATCAAAGCAAAACATTGCCACACAATCATATAAAAACTGAGGAATGCTAATCTAAAAATAGAGAGTTAAGCCGAAACATGTTTTTACCAATTTCACGTTACTGAACACAGACTAAAATCTGATCTCATAAAAATATTAAACAAATGGAAATTCAATGGATAAGAACTTCTTAGTACTTCCTAAAGTAATTCTTTAGGTATAAATAAGTTTCTAAAGTACAATAAAATATACATACAGAGTACAACACAAGTTTCTACTATTCAATAAAAATATTACAAAGGACACTGATACCTCAAAGCCTTCTTGAAATCTATGGACATTGCGGTGTTCCCTTTTAGGTTTCGATGGCTCTGATGGGATTTGTTGAATATCTGCGGACTTGTAAAGTAGGCGGAGCAAGAGTTGAGAATGTAAATGATTTTGATGAGGAGTCAGAAAACTCCTTAGTTCTCCTTCCAATTGGGGTCTACTGTCCTGTAATATTGAAAAGGGTCAAAACAAAACAAAAACACTAAACACTAAACAATATGTCTCTCATTCAATACTCACTTTCATTCTGAACCAACTTTTTACTAACTTCAGGTAGCTAAAATAAAGAAGAAATGACAGTAAAAAATAACAATAAGATTGACAAGTAATTTTATTCATCAATTCCCTAGGTTTCAAATTAAACAAGTTAATTGACTAAATATGTTACTATTAGTTAGATAGAAAACTTACTCTTCATACTTATCTTCAAGAGATTCCATCAATTTAATTAAAAGTACTTTTATAATATCGTCCATCTCACCGATTAATTCAGACATGTTTTGAATAAAATCAACCGGTGTGACACACACAAAATATAACCTCCTCAGAACAGCTGATTTACTGCAACGTTGATTTGCTTTGCGTTTGACTTGTCAGTTTTCAATTATGATAAAAAATTTTACTTTTGACCGATTTTTTCTGAAACGTAAGTTTCTTAATGTTCACGGTTTTCAAATTTTAATAATTAAGGTTATTTATAATATTTGCAACAATTGTGTCAATTCAAATTGATTTGATGTAGGTAATCGTTGATTTTAAGATTTAATTAATCACCGTTTTTCACATTTTTATTTTTCTGTTGAGGTAAATAATTGATTAATATAGAATATCGACCTAATTAGGATTTTAAAATGTTCAAATATTTATGCTATTTTCACACATAACAGACGTACTTCTCGTGAGAAGTCCGAATTTAGTAGATCCGAAATTAGTTAAATGGGCGAAAGAGGAGGGGAAATCACAGTGACCTCTCGTTAACTTTCTCATTTTATCTCATTTGTGTTTCTAGTTATTAACCAGGAAATTAGTTCTATATATTTAAAAGTAAATATGTCGTATCTAAATAGTAAAAGTGAAAAAAAAATCTAACTAAATGAGTGCCTAAAGCTTGTCCTAGTTTAATGTAAACCGCTTACGCTATTTAAATATTAACTTCTAATCTATCATGATCTAAATTCAAATTAAAGTCATTTTCTCGTTCATTCGGCCTTCTAAAGGCGTGTTACTAACCAAGTTTGTGAACACTATTTCAGAACCTGTCTCTAGATGAAAATAATTAAAAAAGCATTTTGTGTACTCACACACTTACACCTACTAAAAAATAATGATACAAATGAAAAAGATAAACTGTAGAAATCTAAAAAAAAAAATACCATCTCATTTCTCTGTCGTTCTATCCTACTTTTTTTCTGAAAATACTCCACGAAGAAGTGTTAATGTATTGAAATAAAGGAAAAAATTTCTCTACAGATTTCAATTTACAAGCCTCCAGAGAAAGGGCAAGTTCATAAACCCAATGCTGAGAAGCTTCGGAAATCCATCAATGTATCAGCGCTGAGTTTAGGAACTTGTCCAAGGTCGACGGGTAGGAGATAAGTGTTGTTATTGAATGTCATGCATCTGGTATGGCTATGTTCTTGTATACAGACAAACCAGTTAATGTTTATCTTAATATCAGTTCCAGTCTGTCTGTCAGTGGACGTTCTTATTGTGTCCAAAAAAATGTTACCCTATCCCTTTATTGATACAAAAAATCGTTTAACTAGTTGTCATTCATCTGGGTTCCCACAATTGTTTGAAATTAGACGAAGGACATTTTAAACTAAAAAAATACTTTTAGGAAGTGAAGAACGTTTTTGAAGCTTCTCATCGATTGCATTTACATTTTTATTGAACATAAAATATGTAGCAAAAGTGCAAATACTAAAGAAACTAGTTCCTAGAACATAATTCCACTTTTTAGAGTCAACATTTCTTTTTATTAGTATTTAGCTGGCTATTAATTTTTATTCATAAAATTTGTTGTTGTTTTTTCAAAATAGTTTAATTTTTTAAATTTTTAATGATGATATTTTCCAATTAAGAACTTTCCCTGTTTCATTGATTATTCTAATTTTATATGTTAACATAAAATAAACTGTTGCTTCTAAATACGGCTAGTTTTATTTGATTTTCGGATTACGTATGACCATCATATTTAATGGTTTAGATTAATTTAATGACATAATTGATGACACGGTGTTTAATGGCCCGCAATTCTCAAGGGACAAGAATCAGTTTCCAGGAAGAAATATATCTCTGTTATCTAGCAATACTTGGTAGGGGAATGCATCTAGCTCTCCTTACATAGATGACCTTGTCTTCTTCAATGGTTAATTTCCTTAACATCATTGAGAAAGTTTCGCTCAATGATCTAATAGGATCCAATAGTACTATTTTTTTTTTATTATTATTCTAATGCCTCTTTATAAAATAATTAATAAAACGTCTGCCAAGTAGGTTCAGAATAGCTTTCTCACTATTTCTATTGAATATATAATCACCTATAATTCAGGTTCAATAATTTTCGTTAGGGAATAAAATCTATGGGACGAGCTGTTATTGAAATACATTCGGGAATGGTTAAGCAAAAGTAGTGATTAGAACATCGTGCAGACTGACAGAAATTATTGTGGGAGGCTAAGGACCAGTAACGGTCTTTTGATCCAATGGAAGAAGAAGTAGTTAGAATTTCATATAAATCTTAGTGGACCACTTATACATTAATCCCCAACTTCCAACTGTTAGCCAAATAGGATGAGACGTTTTTGAATGTAAGTGTTAAAAAAAAATACTTTCATGATATGTGTTTATAGTAAGTAGTATTGGTGAAAGGAACAAGATAAATAATTTAATTTATATTGAATTTTCAGCGTTTTAGCACTAGTCACTGATGATTCGGAAAAGTCGTTTTCAAAATATAGGTGTGTTGAATAAAAAGATGTGCGCATGCGTAAGTAAAAGTTTTTGGTGAAATTTGATAAAATAGTTATAGGCCCGTCCAGATACCAACTCGCACAATTCCTGAAAATGTCATTAAGGATTAGTCACATATAGTTGGTTACGGCAAGACAGAATCAAATCAGTTCCTTAATATCTAAAACGTAAACATCAGCAGAAATTGTCTTTTCTGATAGTTTTTTCTTCAATTTCTGCATGAGTACAATCTTTTTCTATATTCAGTAGTGAAGAAGCAAAATCAAAAGAAGAAAGTTTACAGGAACATGGCGAGTAGGAGCTCCCACATTCCTAGACCGGGCCCTGGTTCGAAGTGTTACGTGAGAGTAAAAATATCATGATTGTAGAAAATATTTTATAGACCATATTTCCAAAACGTGAGAATTTATTGTACACTTCATCGATTTTTTTTTGTTTTTTGTTTTTGACACATTTAGTCTCACATTTTTACCGTATGACTATTAGGCATGCCCGAAAACAATCCTGAACTTGACTACATACAAATTAATGTCTAATTCCATAAACATTTTTAAGTTTTTAAAGTGAGGACCAATTTTGGTGAAAGTGGACTGTCAAATGGTTAACAATCGTTAGGAAAATGATCTCTGATAATTGCTGATGTTGATGTCGAATCCATTTTTATTTTTTCATTCGAGTGAGAATATTGTATCGATAGCATGTTAGAAGTTTTTAATTTGTAGTCTTACATTTTGCTCCCGAAAAGGACAAACAAAAAAAAACTGCATAACGAGTAATAAGAATACTTCAGTCATTACCTCAATTAATAATTGACGAGAAAAATAAAATTACTCAACTTTCCTCTTAGGTACTTTCTATTTGCTCGATTTATTCAAAATTATTTTGTTGTAAGTATATTATACACCTATCGAATACTTAATTATACAAAAGTACAATTAGACATAAATATTCATTAGTAGATTAATAATTGGCTGACGTTTCTATATTGAAGAAAAGTTGGTTGTGGTGTCCAGTCAATCAAAGAATAAAGTAAAAATAAATAAATTATATTATATATAATTTATTTATTTTTACTTTGTTCTATGTTTGAATGAATTACCCAACCAATTTCTCTTCAATATAATATTAGTTCATATACGAGATGCCCAGTGTTTTTATATATATTTACAAATGAATGGTGTAGATAGGAAATTTAAATTTATGTATCCATGTTCTAATTACATTAATACAGTTAATTATTACAGGTTCTATGTAAGTTATGTAATCTAAGTATAATCGTGCATTTACTTATACATCTTCGGATTTCTTTTAAAAATAATATCGAAGATCGCCTGCTGACATATAGATTTATTTGAAATGTTTGGATTTTCTCGGTACTAAAATCCACAATTATATATTCGTAGTAATAGTTTTCGAAAATAATATACATTTTAAAACTGAGCAATAACGTATCAATCTATTTATTCTGATGTAAGAGAACATTCTTTAGTATTCGGAGGTTTGTGAAAATACTGCCCATTTTAAGATTGCACCATCGTGTATTAATTTATTCTAACTTTTTATTTATTGATTTTAGAGATATGAACTAAAATTTAAGGACACGTAATATTTCATAATTGTATATCAACAGCCCTACTTCGAAGATGCTTCCAAGAAAGAATTAATACTGTGCCGGGGTTGTATGAAGAAGGTGGCAAGGCGCAAATTGCTGATTAAATTTTTTGAGAAAACACATTTTGACGGAGTTATGAATTTTTGGAGAGAACAATATTCGTGGAAGAACGTTTAGAGAGTAATGGATTTCCGGAACAGATCACATGTATAATTGTATGTAAACTATTATTCTTTCCTATTCTACTTTTTCTTGTGCTGTTGTTATGAAAAAGAAAGCAATGAAATTTCTTGGGAGAAGAGGACAAAATCCATCAAGCTTGGTGAGCACTCTCGCTGTAGGTTAATCTCAATAGCTGAGATATATGAATTCGAAAGCAAGCACCGTGCAGTATATATAAGTATGTAATAGCTACTTAAAATAGTTTGCTAAAGCCAACTCAATGTTGAACACCTGCAGGATATTATTAATACAACTGTTGAGAAGTACATAATGGTTTTGCAACCGTTGCTCCCGTAATGGTTAAAATCGTTTAGTTTCCGCGTTCTTGATCAACCGACCTTTCTTTACGAGAATTCTAGAAAAAAGCTCTAATACTCAGTCTTCAAACTGACGTGAACAGTATTCAAACAATATAAATTACACTTAAAAATAATAGTAGATTGATGGTTGACTGTAGTGAAAATTGAAAAGAAGTTGGTTGGGGTGTTCAGTCAACTTCTTTTCACTTTAAAATAATTTTATGAAGCTTTTCAGTTGAATTTATTATTAGGATATTAGGAATAATTAATTACAGAAATAAAGTATGACATACTTATTGAATCGATCGCTTCTTGCAAATAAGTGTTGTTTTTTTCAGTCTGTGATAGAAAAAATAAATAATAATAATAATGGATCTCAATTTGTAAACTATGGCTTTAGAATCAGAACTTATACAATATCTCTTCTCTAAGGCCAGTAATAAATAATTTATTTGAAAATATCATTAAAAAAAGTTCAATATATCGTGCAGGGAATAATTATTTCATATTACAAGTAACATAAAATATATAAACTGATGTC